ATTTATCTTTTCATCCAGGTCCCTCCTTTGAAAGGCGGGGAATACACAGGACTGGCTGATAAGAAGTCAAAAACCTTAGTTTTGGCCCTGTGAGAAACATGAAAAAGAGCAATTATTTTTTGACCAGTCTCCCATGTTTTACATTTATTCAGCAGACTTAATGCCAGCTATTGATCTCACCAAGGTACCAGAACAATGACATCCACTGCTTTCTGTCTTTTATCACCCTAAAACACATAATAGCACAGGTTAAACCCACAGCATTTTGGTGGAACACTTAACTTGAAGAAATTAAAGAGCTCCTATTAAAACACTGAAGAAAATCATCAATGGAGATCCTAGCGCACCTTTGCACTTGCTGTTCCCTCTGCTGAGAACACACTTCCCTGATGGCTGGTTCTTGGATGTTCATCAGATTTCAGCACCAATACTGAGAAGCCTTTCCTAACACCCTATTCTAAAGGAGCCACCCTGCCCTACTCCCAACCACTCAGTCCCACTCCCCTACCTGAAATACTAATTTCTTCTTTCCTTGTTTATTGTCTGTGTCTCTCTAAACCCTAAGCACAGCAATCTGAACTTTACCACCAATATCTAGAAGCCTGACACATATGATCCATACAATGTTAGAAAAAAAGCAAATATGACTGCTCATTATTCTGTATCATTATTTACTACAATGGCAGCAACCACTGTTAGAGCTAGATGGATGCTTCCTTGTCACGTAGGGAAAAAAAAAAATGACAGAAAGCCTTTAAGATATAGTAAAAACTTAGTGATCCTTTACTTACAATCTTGATTGAAAGGTACCATGCTTACCTTCTGGGAAGCAGGAAATTTTAAGACTATAGGGAAAAACTTTCCACCATATTCTACCTATTTCTTTGCACATGGCCCTACTGAACTATTGCTCAGCTACCTTGTCCATTTGAGTAGAATAAAGAGCATTTCATGTAGCTTAGGAAAGGTGATTTTTCTTTCACCATCTGCATGAGTTAAGCACTGTAGGAAGCAGATCAACAGATCTCTGTCCTCACTATACAATGGAAAGGCACATACTTCTTAGCGCAGAAACCTAAGAAACACTTAGTTATAATGACCTAAATTATAGGTAGCGTTTCCTTAAAGCTGTACACTGTAGAACTTTCCACTAAGCTACTCACCAGGAAGTCAATATCCCACTTTACAACAACCTGGCAGCACAATTTTTGTGGAAGGGGGACATTTGGACCACCTCCTCCTTTAGGTACCCCTGTACCTTCGGCACCTTGTGACAATCATGGTTCTTAGCACAAAACCACAGGCTGGGAGAGGAACTCCTTTCCCATTTAGACAATTAAATAGGGTGGAGAGAAATGGAAACCAAGATTTGCACTGTCCTCTCTTTGGCCTTCCACACTGAAAACAGGGTAAGATATGCTGCTTCCCCGGCTGTTTCTGATGAGCACAAAAAAACTGTGGTGGATTTATTCTATGGCAAAAGCAGCCCTGTGCTCCTGCTTGAAAAGACATGCAAACATACTGAGTTAGATGGGAAAGCTAGAGTGGAAAAAAAAATAAAGGTCTATCCCCAAACCAGAAGGTAACCAACTGTCAGCAAAACCAGAGAAAGCCATCTCTAAGTAGCTGCTGAGTGGGGTGACCAAATTTTATACTAAGTGCCCCAAGACTTCTTCCCCCAACCTTATCTATTTAACAAGTGCTGACAATGTTTTGTTGGAGCTAAAGAAAGTCTAGCAAAATCTTCAAAGAAACTCAAGAGTTAGAATCCTTCAGTGTTTTGAGAAAATATCTTATTTGACAGAGACATTTATTTTGCCAGGTTATATTTTGTCTGCCTACTCATTTACCAGTCTCATCACAACTCAGAAAATATAAATCCACCTTCAGTTTTCCCATCATCCTTACTGCCTTTTAGTAATGGAACAGCTCCAAAACACGTAAGTCAACTAACTGCCCACTTCCTCCTTAAACACATTCCAGAAACCAACTCTGTTTCTGTCCCTTTGCTCCCACTCTCAATAGCAGACACAGCCTCTTTCATTGTTATTTTTAAAAACTGGTCAAATGAAAAGATTTTTTTACAAATTGATTTCCATGGTCTTTCTTCTTCAACCTTAAATGCACAGTGTAACTCAGGACTTAACTAGGATTGCAAGGAAGTGACCAGAAGAAACTTGCGCCTGCCATGGCCCTGTAATGCATTCTTTTGCGAAAAAAGAGGAAGGACTTCTCTTCACTGCAGCAACCTCAACCCTAGACCATTTCAGACCTTCAGCTCAGCCTGAGCCCTGACCAGTCTTGGAGAGCTCATCCTGAAAAGCACACCTCTGCTTAGTCTGTGTCCCAGCTCCTGCCGCTCCCCGAAAAGGCAGAAAAGCCATAGCTACTGTTCTCCTTGTCGTCAAATTTATTTCCTTCCCCTCCCCCAGTCTTCCTTCATAGAGTTCTTACCAGTTCCTAGCACTACCAGAAATGATTGCTCTCCAGGAAAATAAAACTTTGCTTAGCAGAAGAGCTTCACATAGAACAATCTGCCAGTCATCAATCGTCATTCCAGACAAGGCTTCTAACCCTGGGCACAAATCTGACTGTCGTTCTGCAATTCACCTGGCTTCCCTTCCCTAATCCCTGCCACAACTCACTCATCTGTCCCTGTCTAGTTTGGTCACAGAAGAAAGCCATACAACTACTCAATGACTGAGTTGTAAAAGCCTTCTCCCTGACTTCAGTGTGCCTTCCACACCACTCCTATGCAGTTACTTACCTCGCAGTTCCTGGACCAGAAAGAGTAACAGCTAATCTTTCCTCAATTCAACTGCAGTCAACTACACTTTCCTGCAATTCTGGGCTAGGCATCACTGGCCCCACCCTCCATGCTCTAAAGACATGCCCTGGAGTCAGAGGCACCAGAGCATGAAGAGCATGTGATCTGGCAGACAAGCTTGGGCTCAAGTCCCAGCTCTGCCTCTTATTACCAATAAACAGAGCCTATCCTTGGATAAAATATTTATTATTTCTAAACCTCAGATTACACCTCTGCAAAATGTAACCAATAACCCTATCTACTTATTAGGTATTATAAATGAAGCAATATAAGGAGAATACTCAGCAAAACACATGACCCTTAATAAACTAGTAATTGTCGATGTTCTGTATTCATGGGGGTCATCTATAGGCAGGCATGGTCACCTCACAGAATCCAGACACCTTGGAAGCTTCCAGCATTGGCAGAAGCAAAAATTTGCTTAGCCTCATTCCCTTCCCACCCCGTAAATGAGAGAAGCCTCTAAGAAAAACCCAAGCCTTAGCAAAAGAAAAAACTCAGACCCACTCAGTGCTGACAATTACACCACCAGACCACCAAGGGATGTTTTGTTCCTATGGCAAAGGGAAAGATCAATGCAAATGAAAAAGCTCATCAGAGAGGAGCTACTTCAGGGTAATCCTTTCATGGGTCAGGTCAATATTTCAAAGAGAGGGGAAAATATATGGATATTGGAAATTCCCTTCTCTTTTAGTTTCTGAAAAATCCTGACTCCCCATTATGAATAATGGGGCAAAACAATACTAAAAACCCTAAGAATCTCAGCTGGTAGCAGAATATTACCTAAGAAATGAATACTTGAGAAATAGGGTAGAAAAAAATCTTGATTTACACAAACAAGCTGAAGAATATTTTAATACTGTGAAATAATCATGAGCCAAGAAAATATAATGTTTTTTAAACTTTCTAAAACTGCAAAAAACTGTGGAGCTTTGGGAGAAAGCACCATACAGGATGTCTGCTGTTCCAGATGGAAAACGTCAGAATTGCAGTCTGAAATAAAATCCAGAGGTCTGCTGTCATCATAACCAGAAAATCTGTAACAACCAAGAAATGTCAGGTTTCAAGATCTGAGAGGGTAGGGGAGAGGACAATAGAACAGACAAGTGATAAGGAGAATTTATATTACAAAATTAATGTGGAGGTGGGAGTAAATTTTTTAAATGAATCTTGCAGCGTTTTAACTTCAAAATTCAAGAACGTAGGGAGTAGGGGGATAAAAAATCAGGCAGAATCTATAGCGGAAGAATCAGAACACTTGGTCTCTGTTCCTGGCTCCAACCAAACCACCATGTGACCTTAGGCAAGTCGCTTACCCTCTTCAAATCAGTCTCCTAACCTGTAAGGGAACAGTAATCATCGCGAAGATTCCTACCAGCCTAACATTTTAAAGACCAAAAGGAGGCGGAGCACCTATATCAGAACTCTCAGGACTACAGACTTGACAGAATAGGTGGAGGGGAAAAAAACGTTAAATGAGGGCCAGAGAGTAAGAAAACTTGCAGTAAGAAGCTGAGCGTCGGTGGAAATAGAAAAGCTTCAAGATGGCCAGGTACTCCAGAATTCCAGGGAAGGCGGACGTCAGGATCTCGAAAAACTGCACTGCTCACTGATGTCAAAAAGGATAGAAGGACGCGGAGGACGGGAGGGCCGATATTCACAAAATTCCCTCCGTTAATCAATTAGTAATCGATCTGTCTGGTTAACAGCCAGGAGAGTGCTACGGTCACAGAAATCACTGTGACCAAGCTGAGCGTCGGTGGAAATAGAAAAGCTTCAAGATGGCCAGGTACTCCAGAATTCCAGGGAAGGCGGACGTCAGGATCTCGAAAAACTGCACTGCTCACTGATGTCAAAAAGGATAGAAGGACGCGGAGGACGGGAGGGCCGATATTCACAAAATTCCCTCCGTTAATCAATTAGTAATCGATCTGTCTGGTTAACAGCCAGGAGAGTGCTACGGTCACAGAAATCACTGTGACCCCTGATGCCAGGGTGTCCGGGAGGCAAAGTACCAAGGGGAGTCCGTGTTGGGCTCGTTCTAGGGAAGGGGATTCAAGTCAGGAAGGGGGTCCGGGAGACCATTCAGCGTAGTGGAAGGGGAAAAGGAGCCAGCACTAGATCCCCGCCCGCAGGCGGGTGATGGGGTCGGTGTCCGGGGCCCCGCTCTCACCATCTTGACGATGCCCCGCTGCACGGTGGGGACCGTTGGTCCCCCGGAGGAGCCGCCGCTCTGCGCGGAAGAGGCCATGTGTGGAGATGGGAAGGCAGCCAGTAAGGAGACAGTCCGGCGTGGAGGTGTCAATGTGGCTGTCGGTGTTGATCACAGGCCGCCGCTATTAGGAGCAAGCGAGCGACCGGTTGTGCGCGACGGACTGTAGGGACACGGCCGACTCTTACAGGAGCAGCAGTAGCACTGGGAGCGAAAAAACGCGATCTCCGCCGCCACACGTTCTACTCTCCGCGCAAGCGTGCCAGAGCGCCACCGCCCTCCGGCCAATTGGCACCCAGAGCCCGCCGTACCTTAAGCCAATAAGCATCCTGCTAGGGGAGCCCCGCCTCTTGGTCCCAAAACGGTGGCTAGTTCCAGGAAGCGCTGAAAGAGCTGATTTGCGGTGACTGACTGAGTATGAGGCGGGACTTCCGGGGCAGCCTTGGTGGTAGTGTCGGGAGGTGTAGTGGGAAGGAAAGGACACGTCAGCATCTGGCCGCGGGGCGCGGGGGGCCATGGGAGCCCCGAAGGCGGGGCCAGCCTCTCCCTCCAGCCTGGTCCCGCCCATTGCGCCCCGCCCCGCGGGCTGCTCAAGAGCCCACGGGAGCGCCGGCGGTCGGGGATCTTGTACCGGGTTAGGGGAGTGCGGACTGGGAACCTGCAGTCAGCGAGGCTGAGCCCTGGAGGGATATGGGAGAGACAAGGGACCAGGGCTTAGACAGAGTAGGGTGAGGGCCTCCGGAAAAAATAAGGCAAAATAATCCATTGTGGGATTTGCTTTGGCCTGCTGGGGTGCCTGCTTGTTTTTCTGACTTTACCCAGGTGCTGCTTTTCTTCTTCCTAAACAAATGATTTGCAACCTGGTAATGTAGCAAGGAAGCCCAAAACAACGTAGTAAAAACAGGAAGGATTCCATTTTGAAAATAAGATTGCATTTTGTTTTATTATTTTCCCACCACTTTCTAAGTGACAGTATGATCAGTGGTGCGTTATGTTCAAAAACATGATAGTCTATAAACATAGTGAAATGAACATGTATTTTTATTCAAGTGAAAATATAAGTGCAAGTTTCACTGATTAAGAAATTACAATTTTCATTTTTACTTTGTTATGTTCAATATTATTTCTAAGTGTTTTTTTTAATTTTGGTATCATTAATACACAATCACATGAGCAACATTGTGCTTACTAGATTCCCCCCATTATCCAGTCCCCACCACATACCTCATTACAGTTCACTGTCCATCAGCATAGTAAGATGGTATAGAGTCCCTACTTGCCTTCTCAGTGTTGTGCCCCGTGCCCTCCTCCTATGTTATGTGTGCTAATTGTAATGCCGCTTATTCCCCTTACCCTCCCCAGTCCCTTTCCCTTTGATAACTGTTAGTTCATTCTTGGGTTCTGTGATTCTGCTGCTTTTTCGTTCCTTCAGTTTTTGCTTTGTTCTGTACTCCACAGATGAGTGAAATCATTTGGTACTTGTCTTTCTCCACCTGGCTTATTTCACTGAGTGAAATACCCTCTAGCTCCAACCATGTTGTTGCAAATGGTAGGATTTGTTTTTGTTTTATGGCTGAATAATATTCCATTGTGTATATGTACCACATCTTCTTTATCCATTCATCTACTGATGGGCACTGAGGTTCCTTTCGTATCTTGGCTATTGTAAATAGTGCTGCAATAAACATAGGGGTGCATATGTCTTTTTCAAACTGGGCTCCTGCATTCTTAGGGTAAATTCCTAGGAGTGGAATTCCTGGGTCAAAAGGTATTTCTATTTTGAGTTTTTTGAGGAACCTCCATACTGCTTTCCACAATGGTTGAACTAGCTTAAATTCCCACCAGCAGTGTAGGAGGGTTCCCCTTTCTCCGCATCCTCACTAGCATTTGTTGTTACTAGTCTTTTCTATGTTGGCCATTCTAACTGGTGTGACATGATATCTCATTGTGGTTGTAATTTACATTTCCCTGATAATTATAGATGTGGAGCATCTTTTCATGTGTCTGTTGGCCATCTGAATTTCTTCTTTGGAGAAGTGTCTCTTCATATCCTCCACCCATTTTTTAATAGGGTTATTTGCTTTTTGGGTGTTGAGGCATGTGAGTTCTTTATATATTTTGGATGTTAACCCCTTGTCAGATATGTCATTTACAAATATATTCTCCCATATTGTAGGATACCTTTTTGTTCTGCTGATGGTGTCCTTTGCTGTACAGAAGCTTGTGCTGTACTTGGTGCTCTACATTTCAGCATGATGTAGTCCCATATGTTTATTTTTGCTTTTGTTTCCCTTGCCCAAAGAGATGCATTCAGGAAAAAGTTGCTCATGTTTATATTCAGGAGATTTTTGCCTCTGTTGTCTTCTAAGAGTTTTATGGTTTCATGACTTACATTCAGATAAGACTGTATTTAAAACCCAATTAGTTAAAAAGTATGTTTCTTAACCTCGGGAGCAAAGCAGGCAATCTTAAGAAATATGCTCCTAGGCCAGGAAGCTGCTATCCTGGGAGGAAATCAGAGCAGTAAATTTCTTATAAATAAAACAGGAAGACTAATAAGAAATTTAATGTCTCTTCAAAGATAAACATTTTAGGACCACTTAGCAGGTGTACATCCCTAGCCCTTTGTCTCTCAACCACCTATAAAACCCCTAGACAACACACACCCCCGGGGCTCTTCTGTCTCTTCCTGGCCTGAGCCAGGAGCTCTGTCCTCTTGCTTGCTCTCCTACCTTGAGTGTTTGGGAAGTTCATTCTTCAACTCCGTGAACAAGAACCCTGGCATCATGGGTACTGGTTGCTCACCAACTTCTGGCATATTACTTCACCTAAAAGTAAAGGGAGAACTTGGAAAATTCTGGACATGCTGAAACCCCCTTCTGATGTTGCCTTGACAGGGAATGCAGCCGGCCGCATGCCCTCTGTGTAGTCGGGAGTGTATCTCATTTATGTGGCTGGTGTCTAGCACTGGTAAGGTGCTGTATTCATGTTTGGTGGAAGAAACAAATCACTTTTAGGGGCTATGTGTCCTGTGTGGTGGGGAGAACGGCCCTTGGTTTTGGGCTCTTACCAACTTGCCAATGAAATTGGGGATCAGCCTTACTACACGCTCTCCCGGCCAGCAGTCCTCTGACTTGCTGAAGAGCTGCATGGTCTCTGACCACCAGATCCCATCCCTTCACTTAGCCTAGTCTCTTAAATAGAGATTGTGGGAGGGAGGCGCAGAGTAAGGGCATACAAATATTTAGGTAAATGTTTACAAACAATATTCGTCAGTGCCCACAGTGTGGAGCAGAGGACCTTTTATGCCATTTAACCTTAATCTTAAAATTTAGCACTACACTAAGGACACCGCTTCCTCTGTAGCTCTTTTAAGAGGTTGTTTGTTCTCCCACACTTCACATTTTACTTCTGAGATTAGCTTTGGAAGGGTCACTGGTCCCAAGGTGAAGTTTTGGGTTCGGCATCTTCCTAGATGCCTAGTGCTCCTTCCATACCATTAATTTGCCACTGTCTTCAAAAAAATGAGTCTGGGAAGAGGCTCATCCCATCTGATTATACTAATCTCCATCTCACTGAAGTGGTTGTCCTGTCTGCCCCAACTGCCACCTTGTCAATCACTGAAACTGACACTTGGTGCACACTATTCTCTCCCCAGTGATCCCCAAGGACTTCAAAATTTATGAGCTTGACATATCTGATAGCCTGGTCTCTCAGCATCTTGGTCTCATCTTCAGTGAACTTGACCTTTTTACATCAGCTTAGCCACCCTCTTCAAGACAGATGATGCATCAGAGCTGCTCCATGGTTGAACTTGTCAACTCAAAACACCCCATTCTCTACTTATAGCTGCTGACCTTTCTCCCTTCTCACTCAGTTATGTCTCTTAGATCTTGCATCAGTTATCTATTGCTGTATAACAATTTACCTCGAAACTTTGCCCCAAGGTCTCTCACGAGGCTGTAATCAAGGTGTCAAGGAGCTGTGGTCTCATCTAAAGGTCCCTGTCTGAGAGGGAGGACCTGCTCCCAAGCTCATTCCCGTAGTTGTTGGCAGATTTCAGTTCTGGAGTGTTGGACTAGGACGTTGGTTCCTTGCTGGCTCAGTTCCTTACTGCGTGGGTCTCTCTATAGGGCAGCTCACAGCACTGGTAGATGGTTTCCATCAGAGCAAGCAGATGAGAGAGCAAGAGCAAGCCAGAGCCTTTTGGGAACCTAATCTCAGAAGTAACATCCCATCACTTTTGCCATATTCTATTCATTAGGAGAGTCACTGGGTCCAGCCCACACCAGAGGGGACAGGGTATACAAGGACATGAATACCAAGAGGCAGCATCACTGGGGGTCATCATAGAGGCTGCCTATCAGACACTGTTCATTAAGTAGAATTCAAAATCCCTGAACCTCTACTCTTTTCATCATCTCCCTTCTGCTTTCTCCTGGATCCTTGGTTTGGTTAGACTCTGTTATTTTTGCCCCTTTCCAACCAGTATCCTCATCTCTAATCCTTGTTGTCTTCCACCAGACTCACCTGTCAAAATTCCAACTCTAAATTTCTCTGCCTTCTCCAAACCTACCACTTAGCTAGAGAAAACACTCAAATGTACAGGTTGGTGACACAGTAATCACAGGGCCTCACACATTGCCTGGAATTTCTTATGTTTCTTCAATTACTTTGGTCTCCAACTCCACTGGGTCTGGTTGTGGTGGTGGTTGTTTAGTTAAGATCTTACTTGTTTAGAGCAGTTTTAGGTTCACAGCAATATTGAGGGAAAGGTCCTGGGATTTCCCATATTCCCCTGCCTATCGACATGCATAGCCTCCCTCATTATCTACATACCCCACCAGAGTGGTGCATTTGTTACAAGTGATGAACCGACATTGCCACATCAGAACCACTCAGAATCCATAATTTACATTAGGGCTCAGTCTTGGTAGTGTTCATTCTATGGGTTTGGACAAATATTATGACATTTATCCATCATTATGGTACCATACAGAGGATTTTCACTGGGGCTGCTTTAAACTTTCTCTGTTGTCCTCTTAACTCCAACTCCACTGTCTCCCACACTCCCCTACAGTGATAAGGCCTCCTACTTCTGAGAGATAATAAAAGTCATGGGAACCCCCTCTGTTTCCCACCACCAAATATAAAACCTTATCTTCCTTCTCACTCCTCTCTTCTTTTCCCTTGTTACAAAGAAAAAGCTTGCCCCTACTGCTGTAAACTCTTCAGCTCTGTTTAGGATCCAGCCCCTCCACCTTCTCAAGG